TAAACCCAAGCAAAGATCAGCTTATTCAGGTGTGTGGATAGCCGCAGGGCAGGGCAAAGCTCACGGCAACGAAAGCTAACATAAGACATCAGTAGTGAAGCCAGGATATAACATGTTTGTGCTGTGAACTACCTCCTACTTTCTCTCTCTCTCTGAAGCCTGAGGTATAGTAAGAGAATAATATAGGCCAAAGAAGAAAAATTAGCAGCATGAGATAGAATGAAGAGAGTATTAATCAAAAATGAGCAGAAGGAGAAGGTCAGCGCTATTAAGGAAAATTGTGAAATAGTAGACAGAGACTATACTCACACATTAGTAGCTGAAGAGTGTCGTGAGAGGGACACAGAGGAGTTATATGGTATCTGTAAGACTTAGACGAAAAAGAAGGAGCAAAATTTAAAGTAACTTAAAACATGCTGTATGCTTAGTGACAGACATTATTTAGTTATTCATAAAATGAACCACTTAGATGGTTGTTTTACAGTCTAAAAGTAATAAGGTTACAAAAGTTTCTGGTCTTTGTGCATGGTTTTTTTTTGCAACAAGCACTCATAGATTTAAATAAATATAATCTTTTATTATAATTAATAACAGATGTTTTATCTGCTTCATTGACTGTAGCATTAACAAAGTGTATAAAATAAACAAACCATGTGTTGTATAATAACTAAAAAAGTCACTTTGTTAGGTACACCATGCTGTTAATGATTGGACCCTCTTTTGCCTTCAGAACTGTCTTAATTCTTCATAACACACATTCAACAGGGTGCTGGAAACATTCCTAAGAGATTTTGATTCATAATGAAATGACGACATCACACAGTTGTTGTAGATTTGTTATCTGCAGATCCGTGAAACTCTCTTATTCCATTACATTCAAGAGGCGCACTGCTGGATTGAGATCTGGTGATTGTGGAGCCAATTTACAGTAAACTCATGTTAAAGAAATCGGTTTGAGTTTTGTGCATGGCACATTATTGTGCTGGACATCAATAATATCAACAATCCTCAGGCAGACTGTGGTGTTTAAACAATTGGCATTAAGCGGCCACCCTGAACTCACTCATACAACACAGTTCCACTCCCCAATCCAAAGACTTCCCTCTATACACAGACTACACAACTACCATCACCTCTGTGCAATACTTAATTTACGGGCTATAACCCACACTGTAAATATATAACACTATTTTTCCCCCAGTTTGTATATTTGCAGAGTTCTTACTTGTGGATACTGTTCATATGTACATACTGTAGTGCTACAGAACTGTGTACCTCACCCCCCTTTCTTTTCCCACGTGTCTGCACTGAATAAAGACACTTTGTATCTCACTGTACATGTGTATAGTGACAATAAAAGGCATTGTATTCTGTTCAAATTATACCAAGAAATCCCCCCCGGACCATCACACCACCGCCAGCCTGAACTGTTGACACATGGAAGGGTAGATCCCTGCTTATTTATGAGAAATTTTGACCCCTACCACTAGTATTGTCCAGTTTTGGTGAGCCCATGGGAGCTGTAAACTCACCCTCCTATTCTTAACTGACAGGAGTGGAGTGTGGTGTTTAAGGTCAAATGTGTTATCCATTCAGAGATGTTCTTTTGCTGCCCTCCTATCAGCTCACAGCAGTCTTATCCTCTGACCTCAGCTATCAGCAATAGAGAACTCCCTCTCACTGGATATTTTCTTTACCCATCTGACACCAACAACCACGCCACGTTCAAAGTCATTTAAATCAATTTTCTTCCGCATTCTGATGCTCAATTTGAACATCAGGTTGTCCCGTCCACGTGTACATGACTAAATGCACTGAATTGCTGCTACATGACTAGCTGAGTAGATATTAATGTTAACAAGCAGTTGAACAGGTATATCTGTGAAGTGGACAGTGAGTGCACATATACAATTCTTGCATAGGACAGAATTAGTAATAAAAATTGTTAATGGTACACAGTATGTCTGCATAGTTTGTCAGGCGTCATCAAAAAACAGATCATTACAGTTGCCAATACAATAAGAGATAGTTTACCTGGTTTATGTCCATGTGGGGTTTGGGAACTATGGCTCATATGGTGCCCAGATGAAGCTTTGGTACTGAGTAACAGGAGTAATAAATAATGTTAATCACTTACACAAAGCGCACCTGCTGAAACCTACACTAAGATAGCAGATGATGGCGTTTCTGCATGAAATCAGAGTGGATTAAGACATAAGAGATGAATGGAGCTGTAGTACTTTTATAGATTATTCTACACAGACTAGAAGTCTGTATTTTTATTGCTGAATTCATTTCAACATGCCCATGGAAACACTAAAGCATTACTATAGTTGAACCATAGATGTGCCAGGAGTGACACCTAGTGAACGGTGCGGAAGAACAACCAGTTGGTTGTAAAAGTCTTTAATCACAGGCTTTTAACTGCCTCCACTAATCATTATTTACTACTTTTTAAATTTTATTTTACCTTAACATCATTATTATTGATGCAAAACCCTAAAAAATGGTATTCAAATCTACAGCACAGGGAATTTAGCCAGACATTTGTTAATCAAAATAAAACATAAAATAAGAATTAGGGGAGCAATAACTGGCTTTAGCAGGCAGAAACTGACAATTACACATTGGGTTAACTATCTATTCAGTGTTGTACCTCTGAAGCTTTAGTGCATTTTCCAGCTTAGCAATGTAGGCACTCTGTTCATTCAGCTTCCTGTTAATTGGAAAAATAAATAAGAAACCCTTCCATCTTTTCACAAACTGCAGCTTATTTCAAATCTAATTTAACTTACTTTGTCATCTGCTGCATTTCTTGCTTCATCCTCACTACTGCCTCCTCCAGCTTTTCATTCTGCAAATGATTAATTGATGAGTTTGGTACACTAGGTGGCATAAGCATCTGTTTCAGTTACTGTTGTCTTCAGAGCTAGACAGCCAGTGTGGTAGATGAGTTAAATGTTGCAGACTGATTGAAAAATACAATTTTAAGGCAAAGAAATAATAAGAAAAATATCACCCTTTGCTCGTAGTGAGTGAAGAGCCTCTTTTGATGTTTTTCCTGGTACTTTATAACCTGGGAAAACGCAGAATAAGTGCTGTTTTTGCAAGTTCTGCATTACACTATTGCATTTAAATCTCCATCTTTTGGATATATTTAAATGCTATACAGCACAATTGTTTACAGGTCACTGGAGATATACAATTGGATTATAGGTGTTTATATGAAGCAAGAAAATGACTGAACTTGGCTGATTTCCGTTAAGTGCTTGGCTGCCACCACCTTGATGTTTGAGAAAAGGGCCTTCACACCAGGGCTGCTCTGAAACGAGCACATTTAACATAACTCTAATGACAGCAGAATATTCAACTTTTAACAGTCTGATTATTAATGTGGCTATCCCACCCCAACACCCACAGTTACCTGGGAATTTCATGAGAAAAGAGTGCTTACTTTGTCAGACAGTGGTGACAGTTGGCATTTAGCGTTGCAGATATAACAGCTGCCTGGTTGGCCTGAAAGAAAGATTATATTTAAACCAAAATTACAAAGTCAAGAATATAATGCTGGCTCGCAAGGATAGGAAGACATGGAAGGACTGAAAATTGACATCAAGGGTTTCTGTCTGTGAAACAAAATCAGTTAAATGGGTTTGTCTAACCACGGGAGACAAAGTCAATAGTCTGATTAAGGTGAGACCAATCATGAACAACTCCAGGGCTAATGAATAGTGATTAAAGGACCTCCAGGAGTACCATCCATTGGTGAATGGTGTAATTTCACTCTCAATTTTTGAATGAAACATATAATCACAGAGAATCACTGGTTTTCTTTATAATATAACAATCTCTAACACTGATATTTAATCTATTTTAAACATAGACCCCTAGGGAGATCCTTTCCTTTAGAGACAACTTAGAAACATGCAACACTCAGTGCAAAAAATAAATAATCAGCTCTGCAATATCACTTAGAGCCCAACAGATGTCCCTGTCTAATCATACTTTCATTTGCTGGGGAGTAGGAAGGCTGTAGATTTGGTGCTTAAATATATGCAGGTATTCCAAACAGTGATTGTTTTGACTGTGTTTGCAACAAAACTGTTTATGTACCTCTCTGATAACCTCTCTGATAACAACCACTACAGATGACATGGCCACAGCTTGTGACCGCCAGTTTGCGGTCGGCACTTTGAGGAAGAAAGCAGGAATTGCAGCAAACCCAGGAAGCCATTTCAAAACCTGCAGGAAAACAAGATTAGGTGAGGAGTTAATGAGCTAATTTAGCTAACGTTCTTTGCTAAATTACGTTTATGAATTAGCAGATTTAGCTAAACGGTCTTCTAACTCTTATTTACACATGCGTATTAAAATTGTTGCTGCATATCTTCTATATATAGTTCGTTTTTACAGCCATATTTCATTAAGGTTTATTAGATAACTATATTTATTACTTTGAAAACCTTGTGACTGCTGGTGAAGCTAAAGGCTAATTTAGCTTATATTAGCTCTGTCCTACTCCCAGAGTCATTAATGGATAATATATGTCCTCACTGCTTATAATAAAGGTAACTTCACCTTTTCGCTGATGGTCAATTGTTGTTGAAGCTGTTTGTCCAACTTCTAACTAAAATTGCTGAAAACCTGTAAATACCTATTTAAGATTATGCCTGTTGGACATTTGAACACCAGGTAAGCTATGAGTGAAATGCATCATAATCACATGATGATTCTTATGCTATTAGCTTATATTTTCTAAAATCATGGTACCTAATTATAACACATTCAACCTTTGTAAACATTGTGTATATTTTCCTAATTGCTGTCTATGATTTTCACCTTATTTAGGGCAAAATTGCAGTAATATAAACGATTATATTGAGTTAATGTCACACAAATCAAAGATTACAATGACCTAATGCCTCAAACAATACTTTATTCAACAAAAAACATTGCAAAAAACAAAAAAAACAATTTTGCAAGCACCATTCCAAGTTTTTATGCAATTTTTTCACATTTTAATTTGCAAAGGATACAGTTGTGCTCAGAAGTTTACATGCATTCATCGTGGTCATGAATGTCATGGTAACTTTGGACTTTTAATCATGTCTTTGAACTGTTCTTTTTCCAGAGTGAAAAGCATACATCTTTAAATACTTTCAAGCTCTATGCACCCAAATCTTGATTTTATTTATTTATTTAGGATTTTCTGTAATCCACGACATCAAGAGAAAACATGCAGGCTCAAATATATGTCCACATTCATTTAAGTGCTTTAATAAACGGTGCTAAATGTTTTATGCTGTATTTTAACTTGACAAGACCAAGGCCAGTTAACTTTTGTGATCATGATTAACTACAACTGCTAGTTTCTCTTTTTAGCATAAAAACGATTTGATTGACACCACTGATTAGATTGACCAATGAGAAAGTCCAAGGAACTCAGATTTAAACATGAGAATTGTAGATTTACGCAAGTTGGGAAGATCTTTGGAAATAATTTCTAAACAACTGGAGTTTCCAAGATCATCAGTTCAAACAATTGTACAAATGTTATTTGGATGTTTCACCACTTTTTCTTTCTTCTGAAAGAAGACACAAACTGTCATGAAAGAAAATTGGTTAGGATGTTGAGGAACAACCGGGGGAATGAGGATCAAGCCTGCCACGAACTGGAAACTGCTGGAAGACTAGTGTCACTGTCAACAGTGAAGCGAGTTTTATATCGCCATGCATTGAGAGAATGCCAACCAAGAAAGAAGCCCTGACTCTAACTAAGAACACTACCAGCTAACAAGCATGAGGTGGTAGCCTCATGTTCTGGGTCTGTTTTGCTGTCAGTGGTACTGGTACATTGCACAAAGTGGGTAAAATAATGAAGAAGAAGGCCTACCTCCAAATTCTTCAACTTTACCTCAAATCAGCAACTAGATGGTTGAATGCAATTGGGTGTTAGAACAGGACAGTGATCCCAAACACATCAAAACTGATTTTAGAATTGATAAAGCAGGCTAATATTAGGTCTCTGGAGTGGCCTTCCCAAAGCCCTGACCTCAACGTTATTGAAAATTTGTGAACTATGCCTAAAAGCTGGATCTTTGCCAAGAAAGCAATCGATCTACAAGACACCTACCAATTTAGCCAAGTAGAGTGGTGAAATAGCCAGCCAAAATTATAACTTCATGGCTACTAAAAGTGGCGGATGCAATTTGAGAAGGGTCTTGCTAATCAAATATGATTCGGGGTATATGTATATATTTGATCCAACATGTATAATTGTGACCCTGTGAAATCCAAAATAGATTGAAACTTGAGCACCCAATTTTTGATTATAATCATTACAAATGTGTGCTGCACAGTCATTCCACAGTTCACAGAAATCACTAAAACCCCAGATCACCACAACTTCATGCCCATGACGAATGTATGTACTTCATACCACAACTGTATATACAATAGTCTTAAACACCATACTCTAGAGCATCGCACCAGCTGTTTGGTAAAAACTGGCCTTTTTATTAAGCATTATAGCCCTAGAGCACTCAAACTTCACTGGTACAGGTATGTGAAATAAAAGTAAAAACAATGAGGCTGGTCAAAGTTGTTCATCAGACCAGTTTCTTCTCGATGAAGAAGTCTTTGAGTCTTTTCATCTGCCAGAAACCAACCACCAGCAGAATGGAGGTCTGCACTGCAGCCCACCACAACACTTTGCTGTTGGTGTTCTCACTGATCTGACGAAATACCTCCTCCTTCTCCTGAATGACAACAGGCAACAAAATAAAAAGAAAGAGAGAAGAATAGAATTGATAACCTGTTATATGATGTAATTTTACCATTTTAAAATGAATATATTCTCCTTCATTGGTAGCAGTGGAAAAAAGTACTTCACAATTCTTGACGTAAAATGAAGCTTATATCTGATATACTGGTCTCCTTACTGTATGTCAGGTTTAAACAACTGTTAAGACAGTGCAGTAAAATATTTATTTACCCTCTGGAACTCCTGCTGCCTGGTAATGTGAATCATCTGCTCCGTCAGGTGTCTAAGACTGTTCTCCAGGGCCTCCATGCTGTCCTTGGTCCTATCAGTATTGTGACCAACTGTGAACCCTCCCATTTGTACATCCAAATGTAGCTTCTGTGTAGCAAAATTGATAAACAGAAGTTAATGTTAACTATTAGTCAGTGTTTAAACGGGGAGTCCATTTATGTATTTTGCTTTGTTTTGAATAACATTTGTTCTGTGTGTTCTCACCAGACGTTCATGGGCAAAGACAGAAAAACTTGTCGAGTTTGTTTTAAAGCAAAGAAAATGCTGACCAGAAGTGTGAGCTGTGAAGGTGAATTTACCAAATTTCCCATATCGCTTGGACAACATAATCTGAAAAGTAGGAAAGTTACTATTATTATTAGGCTGTAATAAGCACTTGTTTTTGTTTATTTGTTTCTTTTTCATTTCCAAAGATACATATTTTTAGTGTAACATCACGTAAAGACATTCAAGTGACCCCGTATCGTTTGAGTCCAGTACCTCACTGTTTGAATCTTTTACTGTCACAGTGAGGCCAAGTTGAGGTAATTTTGATAACGCCTTCACATCCCAAGGCTCCAAAAGAAAAAAGCCTAAAGGTAAGAGACACACACATGAGTGCAGACATATACACAAACAAAATTACACACACAGTAACTGCAAAGACCCATAGCAAGCTTGCAAGATTCGTGACATATGCTTATGATAAGATTGATCATTTCCAGTTTATTCTGTGGTTATCAAAACTCACCGTAATCATTAAAAAATCTTAAATAGTCTGCGATGAACATCAAGGAAAAAAGATCTGAGAAATGTTAAGTAATGTAAAGTATCGCAAAACACTGGCACACATGCAGCTCAGTAAATATGGAAAACTGCAGAGAGAATCACTGAACTGCCGTGTGGTAAATAAGAACCAAATACAGTTTGTTTTAGCGACTCTCAGGTAGCTGTGTACCCAGGTGTTATTACTTGGTTATACATCCTTAAATACACTGCTTTTTCATGAGGTTCTTTCGTGAGGAGATCTTAAAAAGCACTCATTTTGATTTCCAACTCCATGAACCTTGCAGTTGGTGGAATGCTCTTTATATTTCTTTCTTTATTGTATTCATTTAACTACTGGATACATTGGAAGTGTTTCATTTAAAACAAGGCTCGAATAGCTTTTTATGGTTTTTGCACTTGCTCAAATTAGAAACGTAATATTGTGCATGTAAAGCTACTGTGTGATTCAAAAATCACATGGTTTTTAACATTTGTAAATAATTACATTCACCCTCAATCACTGATTCCACTTTTATTGCTATGATTGGGTATCATAAATGATACTCAGGAGGACTTTTCCCCATCTAAAACACTCACCGGTCACTAGTGTGTCTTCAGGAATCTCCTCAATGATGCATTTCTCCTCCTGCTCTCCAAGATGAAAAAACATGGCAGCAGCCAGCATCAGGTAACACTGAAGGAGAAAGCCAGTGCCTTGCAAACCCATTTTATGTTAACAGCAAACTATTAGATTACACTTAACAGTGACCTAATGCTTTGCCTGCAGTTCCAGTAGAGCCTTTATGTAGATCTGCAAATTCTAGCTCAAGTTTGAGGTATTTTCCATCTAATGATGTCCATATGTGAGAGTGTGAGAAACTCACAGGTGCTACTTTGTGTGACAAGTTATTCTGGTAATTTTGTAACTGGTTAACCTGGCAACCAATAGAAAAGCTGCAATGGCAAGCATGTACCTGATATAGGGTATCTAGCTGTTTCTTCGTTTCACTGCAGATTATATTTATATTCTGACACTAACACAAGGTAGGAATAAGCATCATGAACTTTTGGTCACATATAACAATTTGTAGTGTCACTTATAAAAAATGTTGTGTGTTTATCAAGGATGTACTTTACATTTACCTCAGTAAAATTCAAGAATGTGCTTTCCAGTTTTTTTCTGTACTTTAGAGTACCAAAGGACAATTATATGCAAAATATTAGCACATTGTAATATAGTAAGTTGATTGTTTGACAGTGTCCCATTATGTAATCAGTAGGGATGGGTACCGGTATCCAGTGAAATGATGGCACCGGTTCTGACATAAACGGTAGTAACCAGACCGAAAAGCAGCGCACATTTCGGTGCTTTATTTCGGTGCTTTTTTTTTCCTGAGCTGTGATACACTTTAGATTCTAGCCAATCATTTTACGTTTCCGAGGATAGTAGGCGGGCCCAGGTACGTACGTTCTTTTAGAGCAGAGCTAAAGATTAAAAATGCCCAAGGCGAAGCGGTCAAAAGTCTGGCTGTACTTCACAGCAAAATATGCAAACTCAGCAGCCTGCAACAGGTGCTTTAAGCCGATACTGTGATACTGTCAAAGGAGGTAACACCTCAAATCCGATGAAACACCTGGCGACGCATAGCGGGTTTTTTTTTAAAAGCCGAGAAATGCACCGTATTTGATAGCTTGCTGCGAGACCTCACACCGTGCACATCTACTGCGGGTGTGGTGCCTGTTATCGGACCCGGAGTTAGCAACATCCCCCAAAAACCCGAAGAGGAGAGTCCTGGCCCCTAGCCCTGCCACTGTAGCAGAAATGATGATGATGATGATGCAGCAGCAGCCGTTCTTCTCTACGTGAGTAGCTTAATGTTGTTCATGTGTAATTTACGTTGAGTAGGCTAACCACGTTATTACATTAATGCATGTAAGGTGAACTAGCAAACACCATCATAGCTACATGCGGCTGTCTTCTTGTTTGATGGCAGATGCTCCCTTCACCCTGGCCAAAAAGGCTAAAATGACCAAAGAAAAAGTGGAAAACAGCTAAATATGAGAGGTTTTTGGACAAAGTTTGTGTTTTTTTTCCATTGTTTAAGCACTGCTTCCAGCCAAGAGTGATACCATATATGCCCCATAGCTGCTAACATTGTTATCTTTTTACAAAAAAACAGCTGAACATGAGAGGTTTTTTTTGTGGACCAATTTTGTGTTCTCCATTCTTCAAGCACCGGTTTGAGCACCGTTTAAGCACCAGCACCGTTTCAAAAGTACCGGTTTGGCACCGGTATCGGATAAAACCTAAACAATACCCATCCCTAGTAATCAGTGTAGGAAATGTAATCAAGTCCATTGCGTAAAATGCCATATGTTTACCTTAGATGAGGTCACATGCAGAGAAAACTCCCACACACACTGAATGAACCCATCTCATATTTAGCATCTGCAAAAGTTGTCATTTCTAAAGTAAGCAAAGAATCAGATTTCCTTCTCATCCCACACTCTGGTAACTTTACAGGAAGCTTGAATAGTAAATCAGTACTTTTATCATACCAATAAAATAACCACAGGTTTTATACTGTGTCTGTTAAAAATTCAATTTCACAAACAAAGCAGGGATATTTCTCATGACATTGCACCAAACTGGATGTTTACATTACTCTTACTTCTAACACATAGTTAGTGAACCTACAATAGAAATGCTAAAACACACATCTTTAGCTCAGTAATTTTCCTCTCCCTCGTCATTCCGAACGGAAGGACATCCCTCATGTCCCAGATGTTTAGTTCTTATTGCTATTCAGTCTGCCGTCTGTAGTTTCAGTGCTGGCTTGGTGGGAATATCTGTTCTACATATTTACGCTAATATCGTTTACTTAAAATTATGTCGTCTTCATCATGCCCTGAAGGAAAAGGTCATTTTTCTATGTACATATATATTTTTGTGCAGTAGGATTTATGCTTTATAGCCTTTATGTGAAATTAATTTCTTGCTTTAAGTTTTTTATCTTTGAGTTCTAAACATTTCATGAACTCTTTAATCACTGGAGATCACTTGTGTTCACTTTATGACCAACACTTCATTAGGGTGAATTCAGTCCAAAACTGTGTGAACCGAGGTCAGCTTGTCCTCTACACTCCATTGGATCCTGCAAACGCAACATCAGTAATATTAACTTAATGCATGCCTAATATTTAAAGGTGATAATCAACAGGCCATGACAGTTTTAATTAAACGACGCCACCATTTGTTTCTTGAGAAAACAGGAATCAAAGAGGAAACAGTATTGTAAGTTGTATTTACATTTTATTGGCCTTTACAAAAAAAATACACATATTTTTAGTGTTTTAGTATTTTACAAAGCAAGTTTTTCTGTTTTAACTCAGTAACGTAAAGGAATACAAATTATTTCAGATTTCATATGCTGTACACTACAGGTTAAAATCCTGTCAATAAATATATCCATTTTCTTTAGGAAAACAAGCGCAATGTTTCTTTAAACATTATGTTTTAAATTTAGGAAAGTGTATATGTCACTTTTGTTATCATATTACTTCTGCTAATGGGGCTATTGAAGCACCGTATTTCCACCTTTTCTTAGTTTGCTATAATTTGTATAATTTTGGATCTTATGCCAGGATTTATTTCTAAATCCTCTAAATAAAAGCTGCTGGGAGTAGCAAACAAATATTTGTGATCTTCAGAAGTGTCAAAGCAAATCCAATTACAGTGCCAACTTGTGTTTTCAGCTCATTTTCTAATTACCAAACAGCATTGATCTCTCCCCAGACAATTTTGATCATCTGCCAAAACTGAATTGGTGTCTAATGGCTATTTTGCCAAACTACACCTCTTTAGTGCTGTCAGATCTATCAATATGAAGGGAAGATTAAGGATTTTTTTTAAGGCACACTCTCCCAGTTGAACAGTCACATAATCAGTATGTATATTAGTGATTTCCACAGAAACAGTTTGGTCAGGGAGAGCCGATGGAAGCTGGTTTGTGATGGTTAAACTTCATGTGATTAAATCGTGGACCTTTTACTGTTGCTGTTGCGTCTTCGTCCTTTCCTCCCTTTTCTGGCTTTCCTCTCCTTCTTCTTTCTCCTCTCCTTCCTCTCTTTCTTTTCCCTCCTTTCCTGGCCTAGTCATAAACAGTTGTCTGGGAAACACTTCCGCTCTTCCTCCAGCAGGGGACAGGCTGCTCCATTGTTGGCTGGGTGCATTATGATGTAGCGCGTGCGGTGCTGAACGCCTGACTCTCCACATTTGCCCTTGCACAAGCCCCAGGGAGACCACACTGACACTTCACAGTCCAGAGGGGTATCTGCAGAGAAGGGCGGGCAGCATAGCAATCATATTAACAATCAGGTTTCCATTCTGCTAATTTGTTGCTCTTAACTTTTTGCACATGACTTATAAGATGAGTAATATGTCGTAATCAGGAAAATCTTCTTTTCTTTTTATAACACAAAATTATTAAAGGGTGTTGCCGTGCTTTGTGTGTAGGGCTTATGAACCCACATTTTCTCATTATAGACTCTTTGAGTGGTTGCACTGCTGGAGTTAATTTTCATTTTGCTTTACTTTCATTTGTAGAGTGGGTTTTTGCTCATTGTGCTTACTTTTTTTATTTTTGCCTCAGAGTAAACAGTGCTGCTACTTAATGACTCCTCTGCAACAGATCATGATTTAGCCCCTTATTAGGAGACACCTCAATTATAATAGAGGGTAAGGAAGCATCCTCTGACTTTCTGCTTTTTCAGCTAACCTAATAAAAATGTAATCCTTTTAAAGTCTTATCATCACATCATGTTTTTTGGTGCTTTCAGACTACTTGCTGATGTACCTCAGTCAAGCTCTTGGTGGGCTTCTATGCAGCTGATATGAATCGCAGTTGTCAGTTAGAGAGTAGAAAAGCAGAAGGAAGGGAGGTTGTATGGAAGCTGCATAGATGGACATTTGGATATCAAGTGAAAGGCTGATAACTCCCTTTAAAATTTATGTTCAAGAATAACAAAGTGAAGGTTAATGTGACAAAAGGTTGCAGAAACGCAAAGATGATTTAACCTGATTTTCCATCAGTGTCTCACAGATCTAGAACAGGTGCTTACTGATCATTAAAGAAAAGTTTTGTTCAAGCTCTGGGGAGAATACACAAATACGATGGATTGATAATGACAGGGGTAGGATAAACAGACACAAGGGTAAGATGGAGCATTGGGAACAGGGGGAGGAAACCCCAACAGATTGTTGGCCATTCTCTGTTGTTTGTTGATGGGTTGTCGGGGGAACGGTCTTGTAGTCTGTGATGCTGACTCAGACCCTTGCAGTTACCCTCAACCCTGCTTCTGATTAATGCTCTGTCAGCTCTTTTGCCAGGCCCCAACATGCTATCTATTACTTTTTCCCCCTTAAAAAAACTTTTCCCAGTCAAGTCATCTATTTAGACTTTCCATGGTGAATTGTGCTTTTATAAAAGGCTGTTTTGCCCTCCCTATCACATGCATCATTCACACAAAGTTACTTGTCTGCTGCATTGCTAACTTTTAGTTTGATACAGCTTTTCCATGTACATTTTCCAAGATGTCTTTGTATTCTTCCTTTCTCTACAGAAGAGTCTTAAATAGTCTCGGAACCCACATATCCAGCTTCACCCATGAAATAAATTCCAGTGTTTATGTCCCACTTGGCATCATGACTAAAAATTTACTGTATATAATTTCTACACAGTTTTCATAAAGTACTCTTTGACATCTTTTATCACACATCTTTTGCCTCTTATACTAGATGCCAGATGTGTTTCTGGTATTTTCTGGTACCCTGACTCTGGCTTGGATTTTCTGGTCTTTGGTTGGAAACAGTTTAGTTTGTGTGTGGCCTGTAATGTTTCCTAAATTCCCCCAAAATGAGCAAGTCCCTGCCTTATGTTAAAACCTTACACCTGAGTTTGACAAAGCATGTAGAATTCTGTATTCATTTTGTTCTGTATATACTTTTAGTTTAGCCTTTAACAACAAATATAATATATATAGTATCAGTAGAATAAGAAAGACACTATAGAGTTGGTGTTCTTCTGAAGTCTGTCTTTGTCTCATATGTTTGCCTAATTCAGTTATGGATGCATTCAGGGTTTGTCACCAGAATGACTTGTAGCTGCCAAGACAGTATCTTGAATGCAGAATAAAACATAGATAAATATATGGGGATAAAAATATCCCTATTGGTGTGTTAACCAGGTCAGATTGAGAACCATTGAGGATTGGGATTAATGTAGCAGGGCTCTAGACTAACTTTTTGCCATGGGCGTACCGGTACGCCTAACTTTAAAAAGTTAGGCGCACACAAATTTTATAATAATTTATATAATATAATGTGTTTTCTGGAAACACTGTGCTTTTGCGACCAAATTGGTCGCACTCTAGAGCCCTGTGTAGAGTTCTCTTTCAATTGTCACTCAGTAGATTACTCAGTTTTCAGAGAACCGGGGTTACGCGAGTAATGGTTCACGCATGGATCTGTGTTAAGACATAAAGGAGGACATGATGCCATTTAAACGACTGCTCCTAATTTTCCCATAAACATTTCCCAAAACATAGGACTCTAGTGAGTGTGAAACTGAGACCAAACTGAGATGTTAACTGCCACATCCTTGAGTTCTAGCTTTTGTTATTGTGTTCTGTACTATGCTGTAAAATGCATGTTTCAAAGAAAGTAGATGAATCATATAAAAACAGAAATTCTTCATTTACTTGTTATTCAGACTTACTTATGAGCTTATCTTCAATCTCATTTCCTGTTGGCAGCTGGTTGGATTGAGTGGGCTCCATGGGCAGGCTGATGATCTTATTGGTCTTCTTTATTTTGGTCAGTGTGACCTTCGCAATGGGTGGTAGGTGCTTTAGGCGGGGGTAGAAGAAGGAATTGGCTGGGTGACTAGGGAAAGAGGAAGTGATCTGTGAAGAGGAAAATGGACAAGGAATATCTATCAAGATATGTGTTGTAACAAGCCTCTTCAGACTGATTTTGCTGCTGCATGGGCTTACAATTGATACTAAAAGTTGAAATTACAGTTTAATAGAAAAGAAAGCTGGTATCACGGCAACAGCTGCCATATTCTTTTGATTTTTGCTGGAGGATTTAGGGAAGTATAAATGTCTTTAGGTGCTTCCTGGAGGCAGATAGTGCACACAGCTGTGTCGGTGGTGGCTTAATTACCTTTATCAACATTACTAAACCTCAAATACTCTCATATAGTTTACTAGTTACACTTTAATTGATTTTCTGTTATGTCTCACTGAACTCAGCCTGGTGATGATTTCCATATACAGTGGAACCCCAACTTTCGAATACCCCATTTAACAAAAAATTCAAGTTACGAAGGCACTCGCAGCAATATTTCTGCCCGCGTTACGGCAAAATGCCCACGTAACGAAATCCGCTGGCTGTGATTGGCTGAGCCCAGAATGCCTACAATGCCCACAATGCCTTCCGAATCATGTGACAACCCCCTTGGCTTTCGTACTTGCGCTTTGCTGTTTCACTTGAACGACGTATTGGTGTTCCAGTTAGCAATTAGCCTATAGCCTATCGTTCACTCAAAAGGCGCGATGGGTGCTTCGACTTACGAAAATTTTCGACTTACGAAAGACCCTCGGGAACGAATTAATTTCATAAGTCGGGGTTCCACTGTAGTGCATTATAATATAAATTCAGCAATATGACCAAATTGTGAAAAAGTCAGAAAGTTTCTGTTTTGTTTCCCTGTTTATTCATAGTCTTTTTCAGTTTTTTGTACTATTTTGACATTACTGTTTAACCAGCTAACTTAACATTTGTAGCTGATGAAAAAGTCGTCTTAAATATGAAAAAAAGATGCTGGTATTGACCAGACCTAAATTATCCCTGGACCATTGTGCTTGCAGTGTACTGATGGATAAGACTTACACCATGTTATTGGTTGAGGGATGCATTTTAAAACTTATAATTATGTTTAAATTTACCTTAAATATAGCCTTATAGTTATGTCTCTATTCTTTTTGCTTTTTCTGGTTGAAATGTGCAGAAATAAATATTCTAATGAGTGTAGTTTATTTTGTTAAAGCAGTGTTGTAATTTTTGGGCAAATTCAGCAGCCGTAGAGTGTTGCTGTACATCACTTCAATACAGCATCTCTGTATGAGTCTAATAGAAACACTAATGTTTTCATTACTAGCTGTTGACAATCAGGATTTCTAAATACCCGGGTTTACTATGGATTCATGCACCTGTGCTGCCCACCTGTGTGATTTTATCCTGTGGGATGGTCTCAAAGTTGGGAGACGAGAAGGTGAACCCACTGTCAGTTCCTGCATCATATGGAAAAAGATCCACTGACACATTTTCTTTCCAGTGGTCGCCATCACACAGGTCTATACTGTCCACACCCACAAACCAGTCCGGGCTTGGGACGATACGTACAATAAATGACAGCTGTGAATGGAGAAAGTAAAACATAAGAAGTGAGTTAAAATGTAGCCACAGGCAGAGATGAGAATAGAAAAGGAAAGAAAAACATAATAAAATCCTTTCCAAACATCTTTCCAACATCTTAATTCTCAAACCTCCTTCAAGGACCACTAAATACTTCTAAATCATATATGATGTCTGTGTTTTACAATGATTTATTTTATTGTGCATTAATATGCTCTTTTTTTAAGCATGACATAATAGAGATTCGTAGTCTTGTACCGGATCCACCACTCTACAAGTGCACTTTTGTTCCAGCATGGCTTGCTTTTATTTTGGTGACCATCTTATGTTTCCAATTGGCTTTTTCCAAGCTTAACAAATTTTCGTCAGATGTGCCAGAGGTTTTATTAGCTACCCAGAGACTCATCAGTGGGAAGTTTAACTGCAAACTTCTGCAGAGGTTACATAATTCGAAGAGACATTAATTAGACTTGTTACAGTTACAGAAGCTCGCTTTTTGGTGTAGTTTACAGGAAAAAATAACTGTCAGGAGCTTGTTTTATAGGAACATTTTGTTGCTGCATCAGCCTAATTAAAGAGGCATTATGCAGTTTTTCTCACAGTATAACTTCATATTATGAACAATTATCAGTAGTGTGGCAGGTTATTATTTGACTACAAAGACACTGGATGCAAATTTTAAAATGGTTGCAATTTTGATATATATATTAACATATAATATATAACATAGCAACAAAACATCTTCAGTAGAAATAATGTCCGAGTTTACACCAAATTTCTTATTTGCACTTACATGAAATTTAAATAACAGTGAAACATTGAAAACTTCACTGACACTGAAATATTTGTAACCTTTGCAAACTACAGTGGAAGTTATTGTATAATCTGATGTGGTGCTGATTCCTAGAATGATAATTTCCACTTTAAAACAGTTTATTTATATTATGGTCAAATTTGAAACCTGTTTGGTCTGGGTACCTATCTGTAAGGCTTTATTATTGGGCTAAACAGAGCTATGATTCTAAGTGCTTATTTGGGAATTCTTCACACCACCTTATCTATGCTGACCTGTCAGTGACAAGCCTTGCATGCACTTAATGCCCTGTTGAGAAACTTACAAAGGAGTGCCTGGCAAAGACCTCAAACTCAGTGTGCATCTGGCCTGTGCCGCCCACGACAGCGGGAGCGGAGAGGATCCCATAAACACTCTGGATGCGTTCACCGGCCGTCTCAACTTCCTTCACAAGCGTCCAAGCCTCACCTTTCTCCGTGAACTCCCTCACTCCATTGCTGGCAAACTCATTACGTTGCCACATGTGGTAGTCAGAGCTGTGGGTCACCCCTAATGGAAAAGAAAGGATGAAAAATTGTTGTTTCAGCAGGTGTTAGTCTGAATAGTGAGATCATGTACGGTACATCTCGGCAAAGGGAAATTAATGGAGTTCTGTGACTGTTTTCTAGTGTTTTTGGACTGAATTGGGCAGATGTATAACATCCTACTAGTGGGTAAAATGTGATACAAATAAAAAATAGGATTGTTTTTTAATAACTCTATAGTAAACAGTTGGTGCATTCCTCTTCTGATTTATTCAAAAGACATTTTATGTTGTCGCTTTCTGTTTTTCAACCACCCAATAGATCTTGCCACATTGACCTGAAAATAATGTGACCAATAACTTGCCTTAGGTTAGGTGCACTTACCAATAAGATTTGACCACTGTGCAGGAGGACGGTAGCGAGGATACTGCTTAGGAAAAGCTGCCTGGGTCCACTTGCCAGTAAATGTTAGACTATACTGGGCAGTTTCTGAAGCTGTGCACATGGGGATGTCAGTAGGGACAGGCATCGAATGAATTCCTTGGCCCAGACTTAGCATCAAGACAATCAGGTGACAGAGTGCCTCAGAGAAGGAGATAGTCATTTTTGTGGTGTCCATGATAAGAGTAGATCGGGGGAGAAGACCTGAATGAGGTGCATAAAAGAAAATGGTAAAGAAGGAAGACTAGTCAGTAATAATATAGAGCTGCAAAGAAGTACCTGGTCAGTTACTACACAGTAAACACTATTTTGTACTTTTTTCTTTTATAAAGGTCTTATAACAGCGGCCTAACCATAAATATTGGTTTTCCAAATAAAAGTCTTCTCATTCTTTTTGATTCTTATAATCTTATATATTTAAGACAGATCAGCACCAAGAAAACTGTGATCAGACACCAGTAACATTGGGTTTAACAACTTCTTTATACAAGGGACATTTGTTTCTAAGCAGTCTTTCCACTTTTTATACTTGTAAAGTTAGTTTAGCGTTGTTAAAGTGGCAGAAGGAAATCTGACATTTATTAGGATACATACAGCGAAAGTGTAATCGCACTTGCAGTCTGCTAAACCATCCATCTCTGTATTACCTGCATTAAAGGTACTAAATAGAAGTAAGCTATTCTTCTTCTCCATTGGATATCTCATTATTGCCTTCTTCCAGTCATGGCTGCATCTTCCCTGAACTCTGTCATTAAAGCTCCAGTGTGGGTCTTCTGATTTAGTCGTTCAGTTAGCAGTATCACTTTCATGCTCATATGTGTCACTGTTTAATGAAGAGTTCAAGTGCTGCATCCCTGCTTCTCAGAGGGTATATAAATGAACAGCTTTCGCATAGATTGCAACACATTTTTAGTATTTAACCCTGAGCAAGTAAGACACTTTATCTTGACACTGCCAGGTCTTTCAGAATTAGCAGCTTTTCCATTCTTTTAACATTTTGTTCTTAATTTAAATATTTACAATTAAATTAAAAATGGCTACATTTACATTTTTTATCACCTTTGCTTACTCTGAATATGTTATCACTTAAATACTTTGTACTTGTTTAAAAGTCCTGTGTCTTAAAAACTGTTAATAGCTCACAGCTCTGTAGCTACCTATGGTTCAACTCTTACATCCATCAATTTGTGTAGATTAGTAGTCTAAGCAGTCTTTTAGCTGGAAGGCTATGCAGAAACAGGGTAAATGTGTGCTGTAGAAACTACTCACTGGGTTTGCTCAGGGTTCCAGATGAATGATGGACTGCAGCTGAGTGGAGTAGAGGGCTGAAGGTGAGGAGAAGGGGAGAGGAGAGCTGTGGATGTGGCTGTCGGGACGAGTGACTGCAAAGTTCCAAGTCCTTTTCCGCCTATTTATGTGTTTTAGGAGTTTCACCCCTCGCTTTCCTCCCCTCCTTTCCCCTATTTCCCCCCCTCTTCCCCCTTGGGCTCCACTCCCCTCTCCAGCTTGCTCCACGCTTTCACTCAGTCTCTATCTTCATGCAAATGACTTCCTTGCCCCCTTCATGCCCTTTGACTTTGGCTCTCCCTCCTTCACCCGCCTCCTCCTCTCTCCCGTACTCTTTATAAGTATCCCATTAAATGAATAATGCGTTCAGCAGTTCTGCGTGCACTGCCAGGAGTCCGATGCAGTCCGTGGTTAGAGTTTCAGTTCACAGTTTGATACTGTAGCTCTCTAAACCTACATATATGACTAATGAGGTTAATGGTGTACTTATTCTCTAACGGTTTCTTGGTCACATTTTTGAATTTCAGTTGAGCTACTAGATCCAGTCCCAGTGCTGCTTTTTAAGTCACCTAGGAAGTTTTATTGCCTATGTCGTTGTCAATTTGCATACTTTCTTTGATGTGTTTTTCAGGGGCTTATAAAGTCAGTCAGCATTATATTACAAAATGCAGAGGAGTTACAGGGTTTCAGACACAACAAGATTGTGTTTTTGGTGGCTCTTGGTAAGTGATTGGCAAAAAACTTACTGATCTAGTATAGTCAGTGGTTTAAGAAGTTGTGCTTAAGTTGTACTTGAAAAGTGATGAGCTGTGTTTTGTATTAAACTGTATAAATTGTATTGAGCTGTTGCAATGATTACCATGATTGGTCACCTTTGTTCAGAGAGCTACTCTTCCGAACTATTTCTGGAAGATTTTACATTAATTGTAACAGTGTCATGATTCTTTGTTATTATTTTCTGAACACTTTTAGAACAACTCGCATGTTTTCTACAAAAAATATGATAAGCATTGAGTGTTTTTGATCAAACTTTGGCTTAGACTGGCTATAAATAAGTATTGTTAAATATGCTTTAGTTCCACGCCTATAGGAAACCTAACTAACAGTTGCAGTTTTCTCCCATTGTGTTAGTCTCCCAGTCAGTTTATAGAGCATACTTTAGTATTTGTATGCAAGATACTTTTTACTTTTGTTTGGTCAAATATTTAGTCTAAGCCAGATTTCTGAGGACATTTTGTTATGTCTCTGTGTTTGTATGTGTGTGGGTGGAGGTTGGGGGTGTGGTACTTGACTTGCTGAACTTGGAGGTGACAGACCCACACTCACGTGCAAACACAAAAATATGTTGGCATGCTGAATCAGCCCACATGTAATGATTTCCATATGGTCACGTTTCTTTAAAAAAAAAAACCCCTCAACCAAAACACCTACACACATACAGACACACACACACAGACCAGTTGCCTTCACTCAACCTCATTTCCACGATTTAATTTTTGGCCTGTAGAATTCAGTCTGTTTTGACCCAGTAACATTTGAAAAGGAAAAGTTAACTCATTACCACCCTCATTACCCAAGCTGACAGTGGTGGAGTGTGCTCAGTTTTATCAAAGTAATTCTGGCAAAGCATCAAGTGACTCAGGATGGGGAAGAAGTGCTGCTGACTTAGCTGAGGATATAGTTAGGTAGTGGAAGTAACCCCTTGGAGATTTCCTCAATCCCACTGACACTTTCTATAATGAAAGCAGTGTGTGGAGACAAGGGGGATGACTGGCATAGTCACACAGTTCTTTAATGGTAGAACCACAGGGGAGGATGAGGTTCACCCTGAATTCTGAAAAGCTCTGGAGTTTGTTGGGAAGTCCTGGTTGGCACATCTCTGCAGTGTTGCGTGCGGTGGCGTCGCTGGATTGGCAGGGGATGGTTCCATTTAAAAGGTCGTAGTCGCAGAACAGTGGACCAGTTCTTTATCCTGGATATCCTGGATTGGATAATATTCAAGGGTGTGTGTGAGGTTACCCAACCAGTCCTCAGGTGTTTTGGGAATTTGAAGAAGGCATTTGACCAAGTCCCTCAAGATATCGTATGAGGGGAACTACAGGAGTATGGCTAGTTGCAAACTACAGCAAAAGCCAATGCATGTTGGATTTCTCCAGGGCTGCGCTTTGTCACCAATTCTGTTTATAATTCTTATAATTATAATACTCTGCTGTAGCCAAGTGGTACAGGGTCTGTGCTTTGATGGTCTCAAGATATTGTCTTTGTTTTTTGTGGTTCTGTTAATCTGCCGATGTGGTTTTGGTGGCATCACCTGGCTTCATCAGGTGATGGCCTCCAGTTTGAGTATCTCAGGGTTTTATTCACAAGCGAGTGGAGGATGAGATTTACAGATGGATTAGTTATATTGGATTATTATATTGTTTATTGTCCTTTTTGAAATTCCATTTGTGTTTCGTGGCAGCTGTCAGAGAAATATAAACTAAAACAATAAAGAGGTTATTGTTACAGACATTACTGAGATTAAAAACAAGAAGTTGCTGCAGAAATGTAGAGCTGTCGCTCAGGTGGTAAAACAGGTCATAAATGGAAGGTTGGTGGTTCACTCCCTGTCTGCTCCAGTCTGCACGCCAAAAGCCCTTAGGCAAGATACTACCCCCAAGTTGCTTGTATGAATGCATGTGAATGTTAGATAGAAAGCACTTAGAGTGGTTGTGTGAGGGCTCATATCTCTAAAACCATTTTTATAATGAAAGTATAAATAAAGGGCTTTTGAGAAAATGGTGGGCAAGGGATCTTGATATTTTTGCATTAGAGAGAAATGGAAACACTGTCCAAGTTCAAGTTGTTTTTATATTGTTGTCTCTTCTGTTACTGTGGGATGCTGTGGACACACCCATTTCAGCTCTACTTTTTCATCATATAAGGTCGACCCTGACTAGCTGGCCTTGATTTAGAAACACATAGGTCTGACATGTAAGTCATCTTATGCAGAAAAAAAATCAAGAATCAAGGAAAAAACATTCAGAAAAGACAACAAGGGCCTCCAGCCAAAGTCGGTTGCATGTATAAAGGATATAGGCACATATTGTGGTATGGAGGTGGGTGTATTCTATAAATTTCTAAGACTCCAGGACTCTGAAGTTAAGAGTAATATGGCAATTTTGAAGACCAAGTTCTTCTTAAATGAATTGAAGAATTAATAAAATAGACGGTTTAATTCACAGATTGTGGAAATTGGCAGCTGGCAAACAAAAAATAAAACAATGTCATGCCCGAAGCTGTAAAGAGCTTAAGTTGTGAGTTTATTTACAGTCAGCTTATGAAAATGGAATATTTACTATGTTAGAATTGTTGTTGATACTTTCACTTTGTCAAATGTAATTTTAGGGAATAGTCATTAATATATTTTTCAATTAATGTTGCTGGGTTCTTAAAAAAAGCAATCTATATGAAACACTATAATGTTCTTCAACAACTATGAATATGCAGTCTTGTAAAGAAGAAAGACTAGAATTATGTGTAATCAGACAGACGTGCAACCTTCAGAGACATTGCAAAAAGCCAATGACAAAACATCAGTGACTCAGTGACTGTACCATTGCAGTCATTGAGTCAACCACAAACTCCATTGTATACAGAATACAATGAGAAAAAAAAAATAAAGTTGCTGGTCCAGACAAAATCCAGATGTCAACTTGAATGAAATGCTGTGGCAGGACTTTAAGAGAGCTGTGCATAAATGAATAACTGGAAACTTGAATAAACTGAAGCAATGCTGTAAAGAAGAGTGGGCCAAAAGTCCTCCATAATAATGTGAGAGCCCAAACGTTACTTCAAGTTATTGCTGCTAAATGCTTTAATAACCCTATTAAACCATTTAGCAGCTTAGATTTGCTTAAATTTAAGCACTATTTTAATAATTAAATCATTTGTGATTAATTATGAACCTGTCAGGCACTGTCCCAATTATTCTTGGAAGTACAGACACAATGATTGCACTACACTCACTAGAGTTGACAAATGGAGTGTGAATGTTTTGCTCTGGGAATTTATAGCACAACAGAGGGAAAAGTGGATGATTTTTTTCTTTATCTTGCAAGCCAAAAGTCAGATCATCCAGTACACTATTCACCCCTGGCTGCACCCAGTGGCCTACCTAGTGCTCATATCAGGTTATGAAACAGATTCAGTCTTTTTATGACACAAACTTTGACGGCTAAGAAATATTATCCAAACTTGGTTTACAAGCTGGAATTGGTTTTGCAGCCAAGTAACATCACTGAACTTTCTAGCAGAAAGTAAGAAACAGAGTTGAACGCATTGATTTCAGCGACTGGGTGAAGATATTGAAGGCCCCCTGATGCAAACCATGAGGCCACTCAATGGACCGTACAGCCTGTAAACAAAATAACAGAGATGTTATTGTGTGGTCCGTCGCCAGGGTTGCTGTAGTGACACAATGTGAGGTCATTGTTTTGTCGTCCTGGCTTCATCTAAGAAATATCCGCAATCAGACATGCACACGAGGACACAAACAAATCTAGAGTCTCGTGTGTCAGGACATGAACACACAGAGATGCGTGCGGTGCTTCACGTGACAGCTTGTAATAAATTAAAACAAAAGTCGCATCAGTCGTTCATTATATATATTTATATATATATTTGACCTGTTCCTTTTCGAGCTGAAACCTTTCCTCACCATGTCTGTGAAGGTTCTCAGTCATCCAGGTCATCGTACTCTAAGGAGCTTGGAAAGAAAAGCGTCTGGACTTCTTTGAGTTTCTTGAAGACGTTTCACCTCTCATCCGAGAAGCTTCTTCAGTTCTAAGGGTCAAATGGTGGAGAGTCCCAGATTTATAATCCCAGATATATGCCATCTATAATCCAGTTTTGAGATCCCTTCCCAGACGCCTTAACGCCCACTCACATCCTGGGCCATTTGACCTCAGGAAATCACATGATAGGGTGGGGCCAGGTTTCACAATGAGCTCACCCGAAACCCTGGCTGATTGTGACCCACACCCGCTTTCACACCTTGGCTCATATGATTAGAGGATCATCAGGGGGTCTTTTGTCCCTCTGTGGG